AGGACTTGCAAACAAGGTTTCCTATTTTTTCTCAGGGAATCCTGGAGCATGATCCCTTCAACTCCCTCCCCCACCCCCATTTGTATCTAGGATGAGGCACACGATACTAGGCCTAGCTTATTGGCTAACATTGGGATCTTGTTAACTTTCTGCATGTGTTGTCCTGGAATCACAATCCTCCTGACTTCCACCTCTGGAGTATTTGAGATGACAGGTGGGAGCCACTGAACCCAGTCTCAATGCTTAACTGTAGGTCAACTGATTCCACATCTTATGCTTTGAGTAACCTGATAAATGTTAACTTTCAGGAAGAGTTGTAATGAATAGTTACAAAGTTGTGCAAGCACGGTCATTAATTCCATAACAATTCTATCATCCCCCCAAAGACACCCTGCATTCATTAGCAGCTACTTCTCATTTCTCCCTACCCATCCCCTCGCAACCAGTCATCGCTGTGCTTCTATGAATTCGCATACTGGACAGTCGATATAAATGGAAGTGGCACGTGGCCTTTTATACCTAACTCCTATTGTTTGGCATGGTGTTTATAAGGGTCATCTGTGTAGGAGCATATTAGTATTGTGTCCCTTTTTGAGAGCTCAATAGTACTTCTTTACATGGACTTACACTTTTCCTTTACTCACTGATGGATGTATGGATTGTTTCCATTGGGGAATATGATGAAAAATAGTTGTGATTACATGTGTGTGTTTTTACCTAAGTAGGGTTTGTTCCATAGTACTGGTTATCAAAACAGAAGTACTGGGTGAGACTAACACACTTCTTTTTTTGTCGGTTGTGGGGCTTGAACTCTGGGCCTGGGAACTGACCCTCAGGCTCTTCAGCTCAAGACCAGCACTCTACCACTTGAGCCACAGCGCCACTTCATTTTCTGGTGGTTTATTGGAGATAAAAGAGTCTAACAGATCTCAGCCCTGTGAGTAGCTAGGATTACAGGCATGAGCTACCAGTGGCAAGCTACTGTTTAACTTTTTGAGAAGCTGCTAAGTTGTTTCCCAAAGGACCGTGCTACTTTGCGTTTTCACCAGCGTTGACTGTCTGCTCAAATTCCACCCCCCTATCCTCAGCAACACGTATTTCCTTTTCCGTATGATTTCCAGCCCCCGAAGATATAAACTCATCTCACAAAGGGGTGGCCTCCTCTCACTGTTTATTGGCCACTGACAGGTTCCAAGAACCATCTGCTCAAATCCTGTGCTCATCTTGAAAGCTCAGCATCTTTGAAGTAATTTTATACCTGAAATCTGGATCCTTGTTAGACAGCTTGTTGGTGGTGCACACACATTTCAATCTTCTCTGCCATCCTGTGCGTTTTTTTTAACTGTTTTCAATTTTGATGTTGTCCAACTTACCTTTGATTTAGTCTCTTGCATCTCTGTGTCACATCACAGGAATCGTCCAGCTTAAAGCCATGATACTTTACATATAAAGATTTGTAAAAAGAACTCTCAAAGGACTTCTTCTCCCATGAGGGGAAGGGAAGGGTGCATCATGCAGTTTAAAGTGGGCCAGTCTCTAGTTGATGGTGAAAATTTGAGCTTGTTGCACTAGGAATAGAGTAACAAAATTATTTGTGTGTTGGTCCTGGGACTTGAACTAGGGCCTGAGTATTGTCCCTGTAAAAGTGGGCCAGTCTCTACTTGATGGTGAAAATTTTGAGCTTGTTGCATTAGGAATAGACTAACAAAATGATTTTTTGTGTGTTGGTCTTGGGATTTGAACTAGGGCCTGAGTGTTGTCCCTTGAGCTTTTTTGCTCAAGGCTTACACTCTACCACTTGAGACACAGCTCACACACAGCGTTTTTTGGTAGTTTAGTGGAGATAAATGTCTTGCACTTTCCTGCCCAGGCTGGCTTAAAACTGCAATCATCAGATCTCAACTTCCTGAGTAGCTAGGATTATAGGCATGAGCCACCGATGCCTGGCCAAAATAATTATTAAACAATTGCCTCCAAAATTGGTTATCTGAAGGGCTTATTAAAAAGCATTAAATCCTATTATTAGCCATTATTATTCTGATATTTAAACATCAATACGCTGGATCAACTCATAGGAAACGACACACACTTGGAATTCATGTTGGAGGAAAAAGCAAGGGGCAGCCACTTTCTCAAGTGCTGAGCCTTGCAAAGGCTCGCCACGCTTGTTCAGTTGGCAACCCAAGGGACAACATTTGTCTGGTAGCCAAGAGGAAAGTCCCCTAAATTTAGGGGACAGAAAGAAACCTTCATTTCATGTCTCATTTCAGATGTATTATATAAACATACACTGGAGTTTATGGGGTGGTTGATCTAGTCTTAGAACAAGGTAGTTTTGACTTTTGGCTCAGATTCCATTAGCACAGAATTTAAAATTGGAAATTCCAGTATCATGTGTACCGGAAACCACTGAGCACCTCCAGGAAAAACTTCAAGTGTGCACATCACCATCCATTTAGCTCAGCTCTGGACATGAGGGGCACCCTGTAACTGTCACTGTAGGTTCGGAGGGCCAGGATTTCTCCATAGATCAGCAGGCAAGTACTTTGAAGAAGAGTCTAACATACCATACACTTATGCAAGAGATAGAGGTGGGCAGTGGGTGGTATCTGTGCCTTTCATGTGGTTGCAGGCAGTGTGTCCTTATTTTATTGATCGGGTCAGTGTGAGGTTCCCAAGTATTTAGGGTAAACTATCAGCACTACAGCATTCACACGTGTGGTCAATGCAATAATGAACATACTCATACACTGTAACAGACATGTATCAATGATCTACAGTTCACTGTGACTGAAATAAAAGGCACTAAGCCAGGTGCTAGCGGTGCCCATCTGTAATCCTACTCAGGAAGCTGAGATCTGAGGATCAAGGTTTGAAACCAGACCATACAAAAAAAATCTGTGAGACTCTTACCTCCCATTAACTAGCAAAGAGCCAGGTGCTCAAGTGGTTGAGTGCCAGCCTTGATTTATAAAAGCCAAAAGATGAGAGAGCAAGGCCTTGAGTTCAAACCCCAGTACCAGTACACACACAGTAAGTAATGGCATTGATGGCTGTTACGAAAAACTTAAAGCAGACCGATTTTTCAAAAGGAAAACTAGACAAAAACCAGAATTTGTAAAAGAAACTCAGAGGGCCAGTAAACATTAGAACAATTGCAAATTTACTAGTCATTCTAGTGGAATTTGAAATGAAAGCAGTGGAACCAATTTTATATTTGTTAAGTGGCCAAAATGAAAAGTGCTGCCAAAGGCGGGGAGAAATGGCATTCTCATGCTGTCGATGGAAGAAGTTAAGTGTGACTCAACTAAGCTGCAAGCAGGCAGGGCTCTAGCTGTAAGCAGGTTAACTAGTTTCATTGGTAGTACTGAAATATGGAAAACATAGAAATCTATGCCAACTATACCTTGTTAGACAAATGCAAACATTAACATCTCTAAGTTATTTGTGTATGCTTGCATATGTGCACATATATGGACTAAGTGTGCAGTAATGACCTCTCAGATGTATAAATAGGGGAGATTCTGAGTTCTTGTGTTACATACTATCATTTGTTTATACATTCATTCGAATTTACATATTTCTAGGTGCAACAATAACCACAAGGTAGGTATTGAAAAAAAATGAAAGGTCGATCAGCTGTGCGATTTGTTTTCCAAAAGCTTGTAAAGACGAGCATCCACTTCTGAATTGGAAACTAGCCAGCAATGTATTGACAGCATATTAAACTTTTTTTTTTTAAAAAAAACTGAAAGTATTCACAGGACACCCAATATTGTTCTGAGATCAAGGTGATTTTAGCGTGTCCAAAATGCAAGAAGCATCGTGATACCTTTCATAATGAGAAACCAAGGATGGCGTTTCATCAGGAGAGGACAGCCCGGGCCAACTGTATGGTTAGTATTTACAAAAGGATAACAGCAGACTTGAGACAGTGACACAGCAGGCTTAAGTTCTTAGCCCTAAATTAGATGCTGGACAAAGGATATAACCAGAACATAAAAACATCTCAGACTCCTAACAGGCCACAGTCTTCCAGACAGCATTCTCTGCACGGTGGAGCTTTATTCTCCACCTTGAGCTATGTGAATCTTCATCTAAACACAGTTCAAAGAATTCAGCTTTCCTGGGGACTCGGCTATCAGATGATCACAAATAACAAAATTTTATGTACCAGATCTGATCCTAGCACTGCCAAGTTCTTTCGCAGACAGAAGGACATTGTGTAACATTCCAAAGGTTCAAAACTGACCTCCCTTCTGGGAGGTCACACATTACCCACACTCCCATTTCCTAGCCTCAAAAAGAGTGCTAATAATATCTTTGCAGACTCCTTCTGAGGCTGGCACACGACTGCAGGGTGGCCGTGTGGGGTGAGGAGCTTTCTTCCAGGGAGTAAGAAGGCCTTTACTACAAATGTGACCGAGTGTTATGTGCAAAGTGGCCGATTTTCAAAGACAAGCCTGAAGTTACTAGCTCTGCTTGAACAAACCTGTTTTCCTAGGACTTGTTACGTTTTATTATATATGGTGCCCATTGCTGAACACTTCTTTGTAAGTGAGTTGGATGTCTTTCCTCTGTACTGTCACTGAACTAGTAACAACAATGTAGAAAGCCAGGAAATTAAGAAACAATTCTATTTCACTTATCCTCATGGAACAGACTGTAGAAATCCTTTTTTCCAGTACTGAGGCTTGAACTCAGGGCCTGGGTGCTGTCCCTTAGTTTTTACTCAATGCTGGTGGCTCTACAACTTGAGCAACACCTCCAATTTGTCGCTTTTTGCTGGTTACTTGGAGATAAAGAGTCCCTTATGGACTTAAAGCTGGTTCCAAACCTGATCCTCAGATTTCAGCCTTCTTAGTAGCTAGGATTACAGGTGTGAGCATTACAGGTGTGAACCACTATCATCCAGCTAAGTCTATAGAAATTCTTTATGTCATCTGCACTGCACTAAGAAAATGAGATCCTTCCCAAATCAAATAAAGATAACAGCCAAGTATTTTGCAGACAAGAAAATCTTTTATTTTAAACCACAAATAATCAGCAGGTAGCTACAACTATCCATGTCTCATTAAAATCACATAAAACCTAGGTACAAAAGCACCACTGATTATTGCTCTAGAAAAACTGCATGAAAAATTCAAATATGCACAGTAAAAACGCCACAGGTTGCACAAGACGAAGTTTTTTAAAGTGAGGGCATGGAATGATGGATCAACTTTAAACATACATTTCCAATTATTAGATAGGTATTTATTTTACTTGAGAATGATGAAAATTTCCAAAAAAGCATGATTACAAGAGGGTCGAATATCCATCTTTATATATACTATATGCCAACTAGTAGAGTCCTAAAAAAATTAGCATTTACAAAATACTTGGTAAAAATAGCTTTTAAAAGTTGTCCCAAGAGGTAAATAAAATCACCCCCAATTTTCCATGGCAATTTATTCTCCTTCATTATCTATAGATTCAGTTTTCTGTGCCTGTGGAAAAGAAAAAGAAGAGAGTGATATAGTCCAATGCACCTGAAAATGACTATAATCAAAGCAATGTCCAACCATGTGCAGACGCATAAGAACCATTCATTTTTTTTGCAGCTCTTCTATACAATCTATTTCAGCTCTGGGTGAAGAACAGACAAGGTGGGAAGACATCATGCCAATGCTAGGCCACATTTATTGCTTTCTGCTTTTCAAACAACCACAGCAGCCTTACCTATAAGGTCCCATTGCTTATAGTAAATAACAACGACAACAACAACAATAATAATATACACCACACCACTATCTGATTCTAGTCACTGCAAACGTGTCAAGTTTTCTACTGTACCCTTAACTCTCACTGTTTCAACGTGCCCCTTTACTGACAAGTTGCTGGGTGGGGTACTTCTGGAGGATGAGACATTAACACTTGAGCGAGAAATGTGGATCTGTAATTACATTACAGGTAATAAAGAGAGACATGCCGAGTGTGTCATCACAGGCTGCAGGACCGAGCAAGTCAGACATGGAGTCAGTCAGTGGGAGGTGTTTGCAGAAAGTACCTCTTTAGCTTTGGTTTCACCATTTTCAGATGGTGCAGTGGCTTCCTTTCCAACTTCCTGCTTCTCCTCCTTCTTCCCTTTGGCTCCTCTGCTAATCTTTGCTCCGGGTTCTTTCTGATGGGAGATGAAAGCACAAGGAGAGCGCACATGAAGATGTGGAGTGATGGGAGCGGACATCAGTTCGCCTCCATCCTGACACCTGGTGAAATGGACCGATGGTGGCCATGGTAATTTTCAGGGGAAAACCAACCCAATTCAGACTTCCATGGAGTAACTCTGAGATTATGACATGGTGACAAAGAAAGCAAGCCCACTGGGCTCTCCCTTCTGTGGGAAACCTATTAACCACCCGCCAAGGATTTGTTTCATGGACCACCTCTCTTCTGGGTTGAGAAGTGGCGCTGCCACGGCTGGTCCAAGGCAGTGTTTGGGAGAACCTGGGCAGGAGCAGCTTCTCATGCATGAGACATGAGGCTTTCCACTCCAGTACATCCAGCGCACTTCACCAGATGAGACAATAGCCCTGTTAAGACTAAGCCATGGAAGTCAGCTCTGTGTGCATGTGCGTGTACACACACACACACACACACACACACACACACACACACACACAGACAATGCAGAACAAGACCATGCTCTGACAGGCAGAGTACAGAAAATTCACTTGGGTTCTATCCCTGGTAATTTATGTACTTTATAGCTTCTTCGCTGACAAATAAGTGTATGTTATTTACCTCAATAGAGATAATGTGAAGATTATGTGGAAAGCGAGCAATAGTGGCTGGCATAGAGGGCTTGTCTTTATGAATCAGTCAAAAGGGTAGATCTACCAGGGTAGAACAACCTCAGGTATCCGGTACCGGAGTCTGGAAGCTCCTCCCCCAGCCAGCTGTTACCCTGCTAGTTGGGCACCATGAGCACAGATTACCAGTTCTAAGGCAGCTGCCAGCCCAAGTTCTCATGGGGGGCCTCAGCCTGACCTGCTCTGATCCCCATTCAGCAAATGGGAAACCATTCCTGCTAAGGCACAGAACTGTGCTTTATGTCCTTTGAGACTTACCCTAAGAGTGGCAGTCAGTACACTTTAGCCTAAATCATTACACATGATTTTTCTCGAGATGATTTTTGGGATGTGGAATGATCATTTATTCATCGCTTTAAAAATCCCAAGGTGGGAGGCTGGGCATCCCCACCTTTACCTTAGCAGATGTTTTCCTTGGTTTAGGCTCAGGTTTGGGTGGCGGAGCAGGTTTCTGTAGAGATGATATGAATGAATTAGAAAGAGCAGGAAAGGATTGTAAAGCACCACCATCCGCTCCAACTCCTGATGGTGCTCATTTTAAACACGATCTCGTACTATTTTCAGCACTGGGGAGCAGCATGAAGACATCCGTGTTTTACGACTATTTTCATCTTGGGTTCGCAAGTGAACGGCAGGTGAGACAGAAAAGCAAACTCATTAGTCACTGGTCCAGAATAGCTCTCAGGAAACAGATAAGACACTTCTGTCTCTGGTATCTCTGCTCTTCCTTTTATCCCAGTCCAGAAACAAGAGGAATGGCTCAGAGCCTTGGCCACATGACTCAGTTTGCCTTCCCAACAATCTAGAAATCACAGCAAGGCCCACTGGGGTGTCTCTCAAATGGGGGGGTGCAAATCCTTCCTCTCTTGATGTAGATCCTGAATTCTGTACCCCACCATCTTTAGACTTTTATTCTCTTCAATGTCAGCATAATGTGTAGTTTACCCTGCCCAGATTAGGGGCTGGTCTTAGTGATGTCCACTGTTAATTCCTGACATTTAACATTTATAAATACTATTAGTCAAAAAGCTCTCTAATTTTCTCCTGTCTTTATGACAGTACTGGTGTTTGAACTCAGGGCTCACGCTTGCTAGGCTAGCCAATGATACCACTGAGCTACACTTCTAGCCCTCTGGTTCAATGGTTATTTATTCAAAATCAGGGTCTTGCTTCCCAGTGTGTGCCTGAGCTGTGCTCTGTCTTTGCTGTGTCTCTCTGCAGCCAGGACTACAGGTGTGCACAATTATGTCCAGGTTCCCTTCAGCGAAGATGGGAGTCTCTTGACTTTTTTTCTGCCTGCACTGGCCTGGCACCTGGATCCTATGACCTCAGCCTCCCCCACAGCGTGGGGTGAGAGGCACAGGCCAATGTGTCTAGCTGTGAGTTCAGAAGGTGTCTTGAGCATTTTTCTGCCCAAGCTGACCTTGAACCATGATCTTTCTGTTCTCAGCCTGCCAAGTAGCTAAATTACAAAGTGTGAGCCATCAGTATTCCTACCTAGCATTTCCTGTCTTATGTGGTTCTCTTCCCACCCCCCAGGGAACAGAACCCAGATTCCCATGGCTTTCCTCAGCCCTGGCCAGTGTGCCAGAGAGCAGGGGGCCCCTGCGTGGGGGTGGAGGAAGGTGATCGGTGTAAAGCACAGTTCTTTATAGAGCTCGTAGGGCAAATACTGCACTCTAAATCTTGCTTGTCACTAGAATAATGTTTTTAAATAGAAAACAATGGCCAGGGTCTCCCCAGCCACGGGGAAAAATACAAGTGTATACTATGTAATATTTAGATCACAAAGCGCTTGTCAAGTTCCTCTATGGTAAAAACAATAGCAATCTTTTCTTCTAGCTTTAAAAAATATTCAGTGTTTTATTGTTATCTCTAGTCATCCTATAGAAGAATAGCATAAGTTCTTCTTCCTATTTAATGGTAATACAGACTAATAAAGAATGTTTTAAAGATTAAAAAAAAATACATGGAACCTTCCAATGTCCCTAAGAGGTTCAGGTTTCACACTGAGTCTAGCTTTTTTCACCCAGAGCATAAAGTGAAATTGGAGACAGTTTAATTCTGGGAGAATGACTGTTAGAAATTCCCTTTCAGCCTTTCAGCTGGATGCCAGTGGCTCATGCCTATAATTTAGCTACTCAGGAGGCTAAGATCTGAGGATCATAGCTAGCATTGAGCACAAGAGGCTCAGGAACAGCAATTGTCCAGGTCCCAGGACTAGCAAAAAGGAAAAAAAAAGAAATTACTTTTCAAAAAAAAAAAATGAAAGGAAGGGAGCTAAGAAGATGGCTCAGTGGTAGAGTGCTTGCCTTGCATGCATGAGGACCTAGGTTCGATTCCTCAGCACCACATGAAAGTTGGAAGTGGTGCTGTGGCTCAAGAGCTGAGTGACAGTGTCCAGGCCCCAGAGTTCAGGCCCGACAACCAACACACACACACACACACACACACACACACACACACACACACACACACACACACACGCACGGAATATTTTCATTAATATTCTTAAATACTCTAAATCTCAAAGTTTATTCTCTAGATACAACTTTTTATGTTTCCCAATTTATTAATTAAAAAAAAAGATTTGCCCTGAGCAAAAGCCCTGAGCTTCTTTTGCTCAAAGCTAGCATTCTACCACTTGAGCCACAGTGCCACTTCCAGCTTTTTCAGAGTAGTCTACTGGAGATAAGAATCTCACTGACTTTCCTGCCCAGGCTAGCTTCAAGCCAGGATCCTAGGATCTCAGCCTCCTGAATAGTAGTTAGGATTACATGAGTCACTGGCTTCTGGCTTTGGCTCCCAAATTTTTCTGATTTAAGTGTCAGCAGTGAGCAAGAAGCTGAGAATAAGAGGCCCTGAGTTGAAGCCTCATTGCTGTTTTCTCTCTCTGACTCTCATTGACACATATACTTGATATTCTGTGTCCAGATGTATTGTATTAATGTACCAGTGTCTTCGATTTTCATCGAACCATTTCCTTTGTAACGCTCTCTGTGACAGAACCTCCATCTCCAGTGGCGGAGGTGAGTATGAGACCAGGCCACACCCACCTGCCCCAGCACCTCTAACCTTCCTCACGCTCCTGGAGATGACCTGCAGAAAGACACTCTGAGTAACAATTTTAGGAACATTCTGGCCCTGGAATAAACAGTATGAGCTGTGAAAAATGGGTGCAGCATTTGAAGACGAGGACTCTGCCTCATGGATGTTTTTCCTGTCAAGATCTCTGGTAATGAACCTTAAGTGCCCTGGGCTTTGTGCTCTTGGCCATGGGCCAGCTGCTGCTCCTCAGACACCTCATCAGGTGACCTGCTCAGCAACAGGGGTCAGGCCTATTGGAGATGTGACCCCAGGTGACTGTCAACAAGAAAACATTCCCCAGGGAAATGCCATCTGCCATCTTAATCATCCTTTTGCTGCTTTGTACCAAGGGAATGGATACTGCACCCTCCCCTCCCCCAAGGTAAAACTCCAGGGGCTCTGAGATACTTACTGCAGATAGCCTGGCAGACCGTCTTGTGGGCTACAAAATGGAAAGAAAAAACACATGTATGTAATTATATAAAACCAGGTTGATTTTCTAAATCCATCGTGACGTATCTTACTTTGTCAAAAGAATCGAAGGTCTAATTCCCATCAGCCTGTCCACGTTAAGCGACAGTAAAACAGACCTTACCCAGCCGTCCTCTCAGAGAACAGTTGATTACTGACTTTGCAAAGATTTTCTAGACATGTAACACAAGGCATTCTGTTTAAATGAGTAGTCTTTCCCAATTAAGGTTCAGTGACTAAGAAAAGGAAGAAATCTCCCATAGACTCCTAAACCTAAATATCAAATCTCAAGATACAATGAACAGGAGGACCACTGTGGGACCTTGGAGAAATGGTGTCCATCTAGACTCCTGTTCCTTCAAATGAAGCTACAGCCTGTGAGTTAATAAAAGAGATTTATATTAATGCATAGAGACCAGAGTAAGCACAAGTTCCCTATCTTTCTGCTGGGCTGGAGAATCACTATAAATCACCCACAGTTAATAAGGGAGACTTTTTTTTAGCCTGTAATAAAACACTTATCTACTAAAAGCATGTATGTTCAATCATTTGACTAGAGTAAAAGGTTCACTAGTCTTTTAATTTCAAACTTCAGAAAACCGAAAGATTATACACTGATACTGAATTTAGGTTAATATTTTTCTTCAGCAAACTTCTTCTTCAAGGACAGTACCAGTTAATAGCAATTATGACTGTCAAGAAAATTTAAAAATAATTGGACCATCCTAGACAATTCCACAACCACACGCAGAATTGATACTTCATTTATTATCCAGCAGAAGCTGACTTCTCAAAGGAATTCATATTCTAAAACCACACCGCTTTTTTTTCTTAAAACACATTAAAAAAAAAAAAACAACCAAAAAACCGTTCCAGCACCATACTTTTCCTGTCTTACCTGCTGCTTCCTCTCGAGAGGAAGAGTACAGTGCTCAACACATCCATCCTCACTAACACTTATTGAATAAGGGAACTCAAGCTATCCCCCTATTTCTTGCTACTTTCTGCAGGGTTTGCCTCACGATGCTTAATGCTTTAATGCTTCAGATCACATCCTGAAGGGGGCCAAGCAGGCAGCAGGTGTGGTCTTGGAGCATGTGCCATGATGCTGAGGAATCATGGGAAATCTCGAACCTACACTTAAGGCAGTCTAGGTGAGTCTGTCAGGCCCAACTGGGAAGAATTATGTCTTGCCATCTCCATTTTTAAGAACTTTCTCAATGAGTAACATCAGAGAAGCTAAACTCATTTTCCTTTAAACTACTGAAAGAAAGGAAGGGCCTGATTCTCCATGGAGCATTTGAACCCTGGGGTCTCTGAAGAAAGATCAGAGCTGGGCTTAAGGCCAGCTAATGAAATATGCTGAGATGAGAAGATGGCGCAGGTTGCGTGGTTGGCCGCACACAGCAAGAGGTGGTACTGGTCGGCACACAGCTGGAAGCACAGCCCCCGAGGAGGCGGGCATGCGGCAGAGCCTCCGCAGGAAACACCGTGGTTGTCATGATGTATTCACCACGAGGCACCCACAAATCCCTAGGAATCAGGATCCAGTCCCTGCCTTTCCCACAAGAGTCAACCATCACTTGAAGAAAAAACAACAATGAAATGGACGCCTGTAATCCCAGCTACTCAGGAAGCTAAGATCTGGGCAGAAAACTCCAATGGACTTTTTAATCAACTGACCAGTAAAAAGCCAGAAGTGGAGCTGTGACTCAGGTGGTAGAGTGCCATCCTAAAGTAAAAGAGCTAAGGGACAGTACCCAGGCTCTGAATTCAAGCTCTAGTACTGGCACACATACAACATCCTCATTTAAACCTGAAATCAAATATCCTGTGCTTCGTCAAGACGCTTTCTGAGTTGGACAGAAAGAATAGCTACCAATCACCACTCAGAACCCAGCTCTGGCTCACAGGGCAGCCCGCAGAGAGAGGAGCCCGCAGAGAGAGGAGCGGCTGCACACCTGCTTGGTGGTCAACCTAAGCGCACCATGTTGGCTTTACTGTTCATCCTACCTGGCTCATGTCTGTTTCCCCTTTTCCTGGGCTAGCCTTTCTCTTCTAGTTCAGAACCTCCAGTGCCTAGCAGGGGCCTTCCATTAATATTGACATGAATGGAAGAAGTAAACACTAGTTCCTCTTCTAACACCTCTAGCTTAACCCTGAGAAAAGACCAAATATGTTAGCCATTACTCAGCACTGCCTGTCAATTGTTGTTAGGGGGAAAAAAAACCCCACTACTGCACTCTGGCTCTGGTCCTTCCCTCCCCACGTGACCACCCAAAGTGCAACTCAACAGGCTCAGTGACGTCAGAAAACCCTTTCCAATCAAAGCATTCCTCCACACAGCATCCAGCTGTTCCATCGAATGCACTTCGCTCGACCGGGACAAGACATCAAACTAGAAAGCTTAGGAAATTAATGAAAAAACAAAAACAAGTCTTCTCTCTACAGGTTATCCAAACCAGCCAGCCTTTACAAATGGCTATTTTTACTGTCAAACCATCTTATGAAAAAAACCAGACACCTTGAAATTTCCTATCCGGTAATAACCACCATAAGATATTTTCTTTTTCAGTGCACACAGACAAGGCTGAGACTAACATTTTACTAAGTCAGCAGGACCAATTATGCATGCAAGTGTGGGTGCCTTCCTGGAAAGTTCCATCAGCTTCCACAGCCTTAAAATCTATAAATGATTGGACTATATTTATTGCACATGAAAGAGACACGACTGCTATTTTTCCCCCCCTCTTTAAAACAACCCTAGCATCTCAAGTACCCATTTAAGACTCAGCCTGGCTAGGGATAAATTAGAAAAAAAAAGTAAGAATTTCTCTTAATTTGTTTATTCAGTGTGAAACCTCAGGAAAAATGGCCAAAAAGCACAGGAGGGAAGAAAGGCTTTAACAACAACAAATCCCATCACAATGACCCACACAATACATGCGATGTGAGCGTTTGCCAAGGTACTGGGGACATTAGAATGATCTCAGGAAACATTTACTGATGGTTATCATCTCTCCAGGCCGGACACAATTCTGGTGAAGGCCACCAGTAGAAAGGCATGGGTTCTCTGTCTCCTAGCACGTAGTGAAAGCAGCACACAAGTCTAATCTTACAAGGACAAAGTTCTCAAGGAGAGCTGGATCCAAGTAGAAATGCTGGACTTCACTAACTAGCATTAAAAATATCTGGGCCATCTCCTTGGACTTTGGAATTAAGTCTTTTATTGGGGGGAAGGGGTAGGGAGATACTGGGGTTTAAGCTCAGGGCCTCCAATGGTTAAGCTGGCACAACACAGCTGAGCCATGCCCTGCTTGTCACTGGTTATATTTAGGACTGGGTCTTACTTTGGGGCACATGCCTAAGCCATGATCACCTACTCTAGGCTTTTGATGGTTGCTGGGATTATAGGCACATACTACTCGGTCTCGCTTCTCTCTGTGAAGGCAGAATATAGACTTTCTCTGCCTGGGCTGGCCTGGCACCGTCATCTTCCCATCCCAGCTGTCACATAGCTGTGCACACCACCACACCCAACTTGAGTGGGAAGTGAGTGATCTTATGAAGTGTTCTGCCCAATCTAGCCTCAAACCACGTTCCTTACATTCTCAGCCTCCCCAGTAGCAAGGATTATGGGCATTAAGCCACTAGGCACTTAGCTTGGAAAGTATGCTTATCTTTATGAGCTGTGTTTTTGCTTTTGAACCTGACCATGTATTTCCAAGTAAACACCAAAAGACAAATTGCTTTTAATTGTCAAAACAGATGAGAAGTAGAGTTTGTCTTCCTTTGAAATCTGGCAAGAAGGGAAAAATATATATTGTTAAGCCTACAATGAACAAAGGTAAAGACCAAGAAATTGGTTTTGTCAGATTTTTCTAAGTACAGGAAAAGCACATGGAAGCAGGATTTTGCATGAGGAGATCTGGACATTTCTCCCGGGTTCTGCTACTTCACAGTTGTCACACTTGAGCAAAATTATATTATTTCAGAGATTTTTTGTTTGTTCTTAGCTAAAATAGGAATAATACCTATCTGTAATCAAGTCACAGCCATTCTCTGATGTGCACCATTTCTGTCCCTTGCTTTATCTTTGCTTGACAGAAAATGCCCTTTTCTGTTATTGTTATACTGGTAGGGGTCTGGAGCTCAGAGCCTGGGTGATGTCCCTTAGCTCTACCACCACTTGAGGCACACCTTCACTTCCAGAGTTTTGGTGGCTAGAGAAAAGTCTTACGCACAGACTTTCCTGCCTGAGATGGCTACAAATCTCAGACATCTGCCTCTTGTGTAGCTAGGATCACAAGACTGCTGGTGGCTCAGGCCCCAGCACCAATTATTTTATTTATCCAATTATTTTCTTTTTCCTTACCACAACAGAGGTTCTCTGAAAACAGGGCTTTTTGCATGTTTTTCACTGTAAACCTTCTCGCATTGTAGGTGCTCATAGATTTTTGGTAAGAAAAGTCTGCACTGGTCTATTGCTTAATGGTAGAACATGAACTTAGCATGTACAAGGCCCCAGCACAAGAAGAACAAAAACAAAAAATTCCAAGGAGAACTGGACCTTAAATTATTGTATAGATCAGACAAAATAATGGATTGAAAGAGCTTGGTCAACTGCTGAGGATAATAATGGTGATATATTGTTAATCATTGATTACCCAAGTGTTCTGCAGAAATACACACTAGCATTGCCATTCAAATACTCAGCACCGGTGGAAGGTTTTCAAAAGAGGAAAGACCTCTGAAATCACTATCTGTTTACCATCATCAAGGCTGTGTAATCCCAGAGACAGAACTGGAAAACTCAGCCTGAAATAAATCCCAATTCAATGGGATCAATCACCATATAGTTTTGACAGTGCTTTTTTACCCTAAGCTACCAGCCAAAAGACTGACCTTCTCACAAGGTCAATGACCGAAAGACATGATTGTGAGTTTTAAACTGGTGTCGATTTAAATGACAGGATCTTGTCTAGAGAAGATTTTTGCTACTAATAGTATTTTAAAAAATACAGAAACAAGATGAAATCAAATGTAAAACCAGCAACAACCTAAAATTATAAAGTAGAAAAATCTTTAGGCTAAAATAATATATATGTTTGTTTTATGTCTCTTCTAACCAGTTTGATTTGCTTTCAGTGTAGAGGAATAAAAAAGATTACTCTTGCTAAATTTTACTGCATATAATCAATTTAAATACCAGTTCCTGAGGAGAAACCCAAATCTGTGCATGTGTCCAAATTTTAAACCTCTAAGGTTACATTAAGCCAACTCTCTTCAAAGTCACATTTGCCATTTTCTAAGGCTATGTAAGCACTTGTCATCTTTCAGATGTTTTTAGCACTTCTGTGATTACACACTTTGGATTACCAACTTCATGTTTATCCCAAATTCTGTTAGACAGTGGATGCTTGGTCCGTAGATGGTAGAAACAGGCAGTTTTGTTTTTGCTTTTAAATTACTTCTTTGTAGCTTCTGGTAAAGATTTTCCCCTTTAGCACAATGAATTTCCTTGTATAGATCCTGTGCAGGGGTTTAGGTAGAAGGACAAATGCCTCTGAATTATTAACCACAGTCTGAATCACCCAATCAAAAGAATCAAGAGACTAGATGCTGGTTTTGCCTGTCCTTTGACCCCTTTTTGTTTATATGCTCAAGTGTAAGAGCTGTAGCTTGCCACGCACTGTAAAGGTTTCTACATCAGGGAATGGCTGTCATCACAGATACAAATGCATCTCATGTCCTCCTTTCTCATCCGTCTCCTTTTAGATGCTGGTAATTCTACCACAAAGGGCCAAATACGAGCATCTCTGAGAGGTGCTTCCCCTTCAGCAGCTTTCTGTATTTTAATCAGTGTCTTTGAATTATTACCTAATTTTGAATCACTGCCTAATTAGTTATCTGAAAGCCCTAAAGAGTTTTCCTAACTTAAACAAAGCTTTTGTGTTTTTTTGAGGTATTATATATCCTTTCATAGTTTTATTCATTTTTTACCTAAGACATGGATGGATCCTTTTAGCTCAATACATCTAAAAAGTAATTGATAATTCACTTACTGGAGCAGAAAATTTATGAGATCAACAGCTTTTCAGTTTCCTGCTATGAATGGCGCTCACTCTGTTCTCCTTGATGAATTTACCTATTATCTCATTCCTTGTCCAGAAGGAATTCTCAGTATTCCCTCTAACAGACAGCAGGACCAACAGATGGATGGATAAACAATGCAGTAATCGGGAATACCTCATCAATATACTGAGTGAATCATATCCAGGCAAGAGAGACTACACAAAACCCTTTATCCAGCTTATGCAGTCTCAGCCATCTTATTTACAACAGTATTCACTCACACAGAAATGTTCTCCATAGTATTAAACACTGACATTTTCCAGAATTAAATGGAAGATGTCAGATGTGTATATGTGTGTGTGTGTGTGTGTGTTATATATATGTATACTTACCTCCCGTTTGGTTACTTTGGGTCCATCTTTGCCCTCTGCATTCTCTGGAGACTAGAAAAGAAAATTATTTCAGTGAATTGTCTTTAAATTGGAAATTACATGCTATAATAAAATGAAAATACACAATGCTTATTTTAACTCCTGGGACCAGAGAAGCCAATAGATTGACTACAGGGAAAAGTAAGTTTAGGAAAGAGTATGTTACACTTACACACACACACACACACACACACACACATTTAGCTGCATAGTTGCTCTACTTTTAAAACAGGACTGGAAAAGGGGCCGTAAACCCTTATTCACAGCGCACTCCCGTCTCCCCAAGCAATTTTCACTCATCTGTCATGAATGAACCATCAGCTAAAGCACAGGGACTGGAAAGCCAGTTGATCCGGATCCGCTTGCTTGTTTGAATCACTACGTCCTTTAAGATCAAGGATAGGAGGCGGCCAAGGAAGTCAGGACTACCACAAAGCTTCCAGACCATTTTTTGATCTGATCTGCTGTATTTGTCACAGATTGGTATTTTTCCATCATCGGCCTCAGCATCTCTACAGCATGCCCTGCTGTGGCGAGATGGCCAGGCGCAAGCCACCCCTAGCTGAGGCCTTTCCTGACTTTGGTCCTTCCCCTGGGCAGCTGTCTGTCCCCTCCCATGACAGCTCAGACCTGATGGAGACAAAGGCTGCACACAGCTATGGGGAAAATGCCTGTTACATTTTCCCTTATGTTTCAAAGAAAAGTCTACTTTTGGTTGGTAAAACACTTCACATATCCCAATATGTTCCTTCCTGCATGTAAGATAAAACAAGTATGCTAATTAGAAAAGGAAACTCCCTCCCACATTTTACGATATGACGGTGAATACAATACTCTTTCTCTAAGGCTCAAATGGGTCATGAGTACAAACAGAGCTCCCATTAGAAGAAAATACAAATAGCAAAATGACATTTGGCACCACACTTGGCTCAGCAAAGTAACACAGCTATATAGCAAGGCCTCATCTGATGAAAATGAGTGCAAAATGTGTAAGATTATAAAATTCACTCTTTCAGAGGGGCAGTTGTTCTCAAAGAACAACTTGAGGAAAGACACAGAGCACAGGACAATGAGACAGCAATTCCAATTTTGTCAAAGTACTGATTTGACACTACAAATTCAGTAAATGCAAAAATATTTACATGCTGTAACAATGCAATGACATTAAACATAGGCCATTTGGAGACAGAAAACCTACATTAAAAAGCTAATTGGTGGCTCACCAATAATTCTAGCTACTATGGAAGCAGAGAACTGAGGATCCGTTTGGAGACAACCTGGAGAGAAAAATCTGGAAGACTCTTATCTCTAATTAACTAGCAAAAAGCTGAAGTAGAATTATGGCTCAAGTACTAGAGCTCCAGCCTTGAGTTAAAAAGCCAAGGAAGAACACAAACCTCTGATGGAGGGAAGGAGCGAGGGAGGGGGGGAAGGAAGAGAAGGGAAAGAATGAAAGAAGGAAAGAAGAAAGGAGGAAAGAAGAGAAAGAAAGACTACATAGTATGATGCTATGGTTTAAAAAGCTTAGATAATAACATTGTAAACAAGATGTAAGTATTGTTTATAATCTGTGAAAAATAAAAACGTTTCTAGGCAAAGGACACTAGGAGCCTTCTGTAGTCCTTGGACTATCTTCTCTCCAGAACCACCCACGAGACATTAGCTCCTGCTTCCCAAATCACCTGTCTCCTCCTCCAGCGTGGCAACTTCTCTGTTCTGAAGGAAGAGGGCTTTCTTGCTGGCCCCATTCTTGCACAAGAATGCTCATATCATGTATCTTCTGCTGTCTGTCGGTTGAGTTAGTGCAATCTCAGCAGGCTGAGCACATGAAGACCACTCCCACACAGGTTAGTTGGCTTTGCTCAGTTCTGCAGTTATAAAACTCAATGCTCCTGAACTGGGAAGGTGGCTCAGTGGTGGAGAGCTTGCCTTGCATGCATGAGGCCCCGGGTTTGATTCCTCAGCAGAAAAAACCCAGAAGTGGCACTGTGGCTCAAGTGGTAAAGCACTAATCTTGAGCTCAAGAGATGAGGGACAGCGCCCAGGCCCAGAGTTCAGGCCCCACGACTGACAGAAAACAAAACAAAACAAAACAAAAAAACCCAACTCAATGCTCCCCACACACCACTCTCTACCATGACTCTCGAGTGTTCTATGAATGCTCAGTCTCATTCATTCTGGTCAGGAGGCTGGGACTGATCTAAGCAGTTTAGGAAGTAGCACACAGCTATTCAGAAAAGTTGATGTGGCAATGACATTTTTCCATTCTCTTCTAAACTAAGGGTTCACAACAGGCAATATGACCAAGAGATCAGTCTTTAAATGCCCAACTAATGATGTTTGTGCTGCATGCACTTTTTTTGTGGAGAGATAGAGAGCAAGAACGAGAGCAAGAGCGAGAGAGCTGGTGGTTCATGTCTGTAATTCTAGCTACTCAGCGGCTGAGATCTGAGAACCAAGGTTCAAAGCCAGCCCATGCAGAAAAAGTCCCATGGGACTCTAATCTCCAATTAATCACCAAAACCAGAAATAGAGCTGTGGCTCAAAGTGGTGGAGTGCTAACTAGACTTAAGTAGAAAAGCTCAGAGACAGTGCCTAGGCCCTGAGTTCAAGCCTCAAGAGTCATTTAAGGATTCAGGTGGACCTGTTGCAACAATGAGAAGTACAAATTGTCATGTCAAAAAGGAGCTTTACAATGTCAGTAGGGGGGGGAGGGGGGGAAGGATTGGGGGGGAGGGGGGAGGCTGGGAAGGGAGGTGAAGGGTAAACAAAGGAGGAGGCTGCAATGCTTGGTAAGAAATGTATGCATCATCTTGCCCATGCAATTGCAACCCCTCCGTACATTATGTTCACAAATAAAATAAAATTAAAAAAAAATAAAGAGCTACAAAACTCAAAAAAAAAAAAGAAGAGAGAGGGGAAAGGAGATTAGGGAAAAACAGTTTTTGGAAATGTCAATTACTTCAAAGGTGAAGAACTGCGAGTGTAGACATAGCTGAGTTCTCTGGCGATCTCTCCACGTGGCTTTCCATTAGCAAGCTCATGCACAGTTCCTCTGGGGTCATGTATGACTGCGCAGAACACGCAGGATATGAATGGCCGTATGAAACAGGACAGTGGCTTGATCACACACAGGCTATCTGTCTCTTCAGCCATCCATGAATGACAGGTGATAATGAAATCAGAGGGGTTTTGTTTAGGATCAAGTGAGAAAGGTTGCAGAAATAATCTCGTAACTTGTGAAGTAGTCCACTGATGTTATATGACAGAAAATATGCAAGCTCTTAAGGAGTTTTCTGAATGACACATGGAATTATACTCAACAGTCTTACGGTTGGCACATTTTTTTCCATCAGATTGTCTACCAAGTGGTCCCCTGGTTTGGCTGCGTAGGTTTTAATAGGTATACCCCTTTGGGAGGATCTACCATTGCAGTCTGACCCATCACAAACCTCCTTCCCAGGAACCCTTACAGCGAGGAGGTCAAGACAGGAAGGAGGAGGAATGGTAGGAAAGCTCGCCATTTTCTGTCCTGCGCTGTATCTGAGGAATAAAGGACAAATAAAGGCGGGAAGGAAGGCAGGTGATTTAGATGCAGCTCAACCCGCTGGTGGGCTGAAATGGAGGGTGAGGCAACAGGATGAAAACCAGAATGGCCCAACAAAATGTCCAAACACCTACCTGCTAAGCCTGGGTGGCACCTGAGAGCCAGCAAGTTGGCAAGGGTCACTACAGAGAGAGGGCAAGGGCACAGGGGAGAGACTGGCCCCCGGCAGCTGGCTCAGAACACAGATCTGGCCAAGCGAGGACCTGAGCTTTGGCAGGATTATTTTAAGTTGAACGCAGTTGACCCAGGGCCATCACACAGCAAGCAGGTAACTGGCCAGACACAAGCCAGAACCTCTGTTCTGGACTAGAGCTGGACAATACACTCCCAGAAAGGTGAGATGAAGCAGAGTGTGATGGCTCCTGGGGTAGAGAGGAAGGGTGGTGGCCCACTGAGGTTTGTGTTCATCCCAATGGAGGCCAATGGGTTTGTTCCAGGCCCTAAGGGGCCTCATGGTTCTAAGGAGCCGATGTTGTGTAGATTCTAGTGTCTTCCACTGAATCAGGATAGTTAGATGCCTTCTTTTTTCCTTTCATTTTTCCCCTGGGTCATGGGGCCTGAACTCTGGGCCTGGACGCTGTCTCTCAGCATTTCAGCTCAAGGCAAGCACTCTACCACTTGAGCCACAGTGCCACTTCCAGCCTTTTCTGCTTATGTGGTGCTGAGAAATCGAACCCAGGGCCTCATACATATGAGACAATCATTCTACCACTGAGCCTTCTTGAGCTAAACATGTAGCATCCATGCAAGCCGATGTGTATCAAGGTATGTCAAGTTGGCCAGGTGCTGATGGCTCATACCTGTAATCAATCCTAGCTATACAGGAGGCTGAGATCTGAGGATGATAGTTCAAAGTCAGCCCAGGCAGAAAAGTCTGTTATTTCCAATTAACTACTAAAAAGCAAAAAGTGGAGGTGTGGCTCAAGTGGTAGAGGGCTAGCCTTGGGCAGATACACCAGAGTAATTGCTACGTGGTTAGAATGCAGGCAAACCATACAGGCCGTGTGGAGGGTGGGAACACAGCAGGGTTCAAACAACTAGAATGCTAAGGCTCACTGAGGCAAAATCCTTTGCTGATCTATTCCTACAGAAGCTAACTTGAATATTTTATTATGCTAGTACTAGGATATGAACTCAGGACCTAGACACTGTCCTATGGCTTTTTTTAAATTAAAGGCTGGTGCTCTACCACTTAAGCCACATCTCCAGGTCTAAATTTCTGCTGACTAATCAGAGTTAAGAAGCTCTCAGGTTTGTCTGCCTAGGCTGGCTATGAACCGGTATCTTCAGATTTCAGCCTCCTGACTAGCGAGGATTGCAGGCATCAGCCACTGGCACCGAAAGACTTGTACTTCTAAGAGTGCAGGCAACCAGGGCTGTAACTTTACAACTTCAGTGAATTAGC